CAAAAAAGCATTGTCAGCCTGAAGACTGCTAATCTCTGGTGTCGGTTCCTGTAAAACCTTTCACTGCACTCCCCCAATGTGGTCCCACCCCCTCCTTTGCTTCCTGTATGAACAAACCAAATCTAGCGGTTGCAGCGCTAAATAAGTAAAAGAAAATGGAGGTTGCCCATGGAATTCCTGCATGATGCACAAACACCAAATGGATCTGGAAGGAAAGCGGAAACAAAAGTATCATCTTACCGGTAACCATCATAACGGTACTTTTGGGATCAACATCCCTGACCCATAGGACACTGGCTGGCAAAAAGTTCTCCCAGAAAAAATCTACCAGTATCTGGGTTCCTCTTACCCTTATCAATCTATATATATCTATTGTGCTTATGCACACACTGGCTGGCCGATCAAACCCAGCTAATTCAAAAAGCCCAACAAGAACTTCAAAAACAGGTTACAGGACAGAGGTCCAAGGAAAAACCTTTGTCTTGGCTCACCATTATCCAAGAAGGGACAGCCCTTCTTAACAATTCCAACCTGGTTAATCTTTCTTCTTGTTTCCTTTGTGCTGCCCTCCAGAGGTCTCCTCTGGCAGCAGTACCTTTACCTCAACTGTTTACACGGAAAAAGATGCCTTTCCACCAGTAATGAGAGTTCCCTGTTCCACAACCCACTGCTAAAAAATGGCCGTTTTGCTATTCTGACCCAGAACAAGGTAGTAACAACACCACAAGTAACCTCACTTTTCCCCTCAATGGCCCCCAGGTGGATTCTTTTGGTGCAACAGCACCCTGAAAAAACAAACAAACAAACAAACAAACAAAACCTTTCTACTCCTTCCCCATCCCATCTATGTATGCCAGACACCCTGATTCCCCAGCTAACTATGTACACAGTCCCTGAGGTAAACACTCTGCAAAATCTCTCCCCTGGCACCACCAGACACACAAGGGCAGGGAGGAACACACTGCCATGGTTGGTTTAGTGGTAGCCTCTTCCTTAGTTGACTCAGAAATGGGAGCAGAAGCCCTATCCCACTCTCTGAGCTCTTCACAAAGCTGGTCCTCCAAACTGCATGCGGCAATTAAAAAACACTGCATTATCTCTTACATCACCAAATAACATCCCTAGCCCAAGTAGCCTTACAAAACACAAAGCCCTAGACCTCTTAACAGCCGATAAAGGGGGAGTGTGTATATTCCTGAATAAGAAGTGTTGCTATTATGTTAACGAATCTGGGTTTGTGGAAACCAGTATAAACAAACTTCGTAAGTTGGGAAAAAAAGCTATCTGGTCAGACCCCTGGAGTCTTACAAGGAGGTTGGTGGTCTAATTCATTCATCGCTTGGGTTGCTTCCTTAATAACCCCTCTTGAATAACCATCTGCACTATGCTCCATGTTACCGTTAATCTAATGTTATTGCACCCTTACAGTCCTCTCCCACAGGAGCCAAACAATCCCAACCTGTAAGCCCCTCCCATGCCGTCCCAGTACCCACAGGAAGTAGCCAGAAGAGTATCGCCCATATCACCAGAGTTGGGAATGTATGGCCGGATCAATACCAGGCCGGCTTCTATCAGCAAGTGACCTTGAATCTCTCTGGCCCGTGCAGAATTGACTAGAGCTGGCTGAAACAACTAGCAGCAAGTGGCATTGAATCTCCCACACACACCTGCAGAGCTGACCAACGTTGGCTATGTAACCTGAAAGCAGCTTTGCAAGTTTTTTCTTTCTTTTTCTTTCATTTTGCTCACTGCCCGTTTGGCTCAGTGCCTGCTTTGTTCTCGACCCACCACTCTGCACCCAGCACTGGCACGGCCCGTTTGGCTCAGTGCCCACTTTGCTCTCGACCCTCCACTCTGCACCCAGCACGGCCCGTTTGGCCCCAGTGCCTGCCTTGTTCTCACCCACTGCTCTGCACCCGGCACGGATACACCCAGAACCAGGAAACACCTTACATTTCAGAAACCCGGACATACCTGTCCATATATAAGCATCACCCCTCTAGCCTGCAGTGCTACTCCCCCAGCCCGGACGCTGTGGATTGTGGGACTTCGCCCAGGCTGGGTTTTTCTCCCCAATAAAGCCTGTTTGCTCTAATTGGACTGATTTGGTTTCCGGCACCTCTCGACAACCTTACAACCACCACATAAGGAACTGTTTTAAAGAGCTGTGGCATTAGGAAGGTTGAGAACCACTGCTTTTGAGTGTTCTTTGAATTGTGGAACAAATAAAAGTCTGATGGCTCAAGTTCAGGGTACATAAAGTAAGGTGTCCCAGTGAAATTCTTGTAGGATAGCCCTTGCTACCCTTGAAGAATATACAGGCACATTGTTGCAATGGGACAATACCTCCTCAGCACAACTTTCCTGGGCTTTCTCTCACCAATGCAGTTTGTAAGTTTCTTAAAAGGTCTTCCAATAAGCCTCCACCATCATCCTGCGCCCTTTAAGAAACTGTTGAGGTGACTCCTTTGGATTCCCCAAGACAGTCACCATAACCTTCTGACCTAACTTTTCTGCCTTTGGTTTAACGAGCTTAGCAGATCCCGTGGGAAGCCACTGTTTCAGTTGGCTTTTTTGAAGGCATCCTCAGGAGACTGGGACTAGTGTATTACTGAGAGACCTCAGGAAGCCATCCAGCAACTCCAGAGACACGTCCAAAGACACTGCTTCAACCCATGCACATATACCTGGACCTGTAGCAGTACATGTGGGCTGGCCTTCATAGGTAGTGGTCAGCAAGGTGGTCAGTAGCACAGAAGACCAGTGAATGCATTCTGTTCCAGGCCCGAGGGTATGGGCCAAGCCTAGTTTCTGTGATCTGCTCACTCATGAGACACAGCCAAGCTGGCATCTGAGAGGGGAAAGATTACTAAAGCTTACCATTGAAATATTCTTCTTTCCTGATGGAAAACACACAAGGGTTTTCAAATATGTTTCCTAGGTAGCAGAATTATCATCAGTTTCAGTGGAATTGGCAAACGGTGGAGACTTCTAGGGCTTCTGCCTACTTCCAACAACCATTTAAGATGATCAAAAATCAATCTTAAAATAATCATGCCCATATTTTTCTATATCTAAGAAGGAACCTTTAAAAAATGCTACAGAAGCATAGAAACCTTAATTAAAAACATCAAAATGTAATCTTGGCGCATCTTTCATCAGGCCTCTCTACTCTAAAGGTTTGCTTCCATCTCTCTAACCTTTCCCCAAAGAATTCCACACGCCTCGAACCACACTCCGTCGAACCACACTCCGTCAAATTGGCAGTTTTCACATCCCCTGGGGAATTCCAAACCTGCTTCTTTGAGAGGTTCTTTGAACATGGGGAACAACAAAAATGAAGTCTGAAAGGACAGGATTTGAGCTGGAGGGTGGGATTAGGCTTCCATTGTTGTGATGGGGGGAAAAATCCTTTTTTTTACTAGCCTTTTCCTCAGCAGTGCAGTTTTCAATGTTCTTAACCTTCCTCCCCGTAAGCCTCTGTGAGCCTCCGGATTCCTTCAAGGAAATTTATCTAGATTACCCCCCCTCCACGCCCCCTTTTCGAATGACAGCAAACCATCACTATCACCTTCTGAGCTGACCTCTCTGACTTGAATTCATCTTTGAGCGCTTCTGACCTTCCTTAAAATGCTTGCTCCGACTGAAAATCCGTTTCACGTGGGGCAGCATTCCTGTGGGTTGCAAATCTTCGAACAGTTGAAGATGTCTACTTGAGTTTTGAAAACTGTGACATTAGCACTGACCTCAAAGTCATTTTATTCTCGTGGCACAAAGCCCTGGGATGGTTCCTTGGCCCCCACCCCGCCCCTGGCAGGCACTCAGAAGAGATGAGACCAGAGAACGGATCTGCTGCTGTCCCCTGATCCGGGAGACAGCTTTAAACGTGTTTTGTTTGGAAGTCGCCCTTGCCCTCTGGGTGGGAACCTCAAGAGCGCTGCTTCTTGACAGCACACACCCTGCTCAGCGGCCTTCCAGCCCTCGGGATATCTTACCCTGCGGGGCAGAAGTGAGGCAGTGGCTGAGGCAGGCGGGCGAGGCTGCCCGCTGCTCCAGACCCCTTCCCAAAGGGAAACCAGGGAGGCGCAGGTGCGTCCGCAGGTGCGCCGGGCCTGGGGATAAAGACCGGCTGCTTCGGGAAGATAGAGGCCATGCGTGCGGCCCAGGGGACCTGCCCTTTCCCGATCGATTTCTACACGAGCAATGGAGGAGGCGGGGCCGCGGTCCCCACGCGAGGAGGCCTTGGGGACCTGGCGGGCCGGGTTGGCTGTTTTTGCTCATCTTTGCCCTCCTCCGCTGGCTTCGGGCCTCCTTGGCCGGATCCCCGTGTGGTAACCCGCTAACTGACGCTGTCCCAGAAGAGGGCGGGCGGGACAAGCACAGAGCTGCCCACAGAAGAGGCTGCAAACCGTTCTCCTTTTTGAATCCTTCGGCTCTCGGGTCAGAATTTGTAAACTCTTTGCTGACCACGCTTGTTTGGAAGTGCCTGCTTCCAAGAAACATACTGAAGTGGCAGTAACTAACCCTCCGCCATCCGCTCAATTCCAAGCCATAGTGACCCCACCTATCAGGAGCTCGAGGGACTGTCAGTCTTTGGGGGACACAGGAGTGGCTGGTGGCCTGGAATCGCTCATCTTGTAGTTAGCAGCCCTGCGTCCAACCAACTAAGCAAAGACAAATGCCTCTCTCTCATCCGCATAGTTCTTCCCCAATCTCCCATAATAGGCTCTGTTTCAGTTCCCAGCGTTGTTTCCCTTCTGGTCAGGGGTGACCCCTGCCATTGGGGCCGTTGTCTGATTGACAGGGGATGGGCGGCCAGGTAGCACGCTCTCTTCAACCGAGGACAGCGGTGGGCCTCGCCCTCTTAGGACGCCCAAAGGGACGCTCTGAGAAAGGAAATGGGGTCTCTTGCTGCTGCCGAGGCCAGGAAATTCCCAAGGCGAACTCTTACATAATGTGCTAATGAAAACACCCCCCCAAATCCCTCCCACGCAGGACTGATGTGTGGACTTCGTGCAGGTGATAGGAAAAGTATAGAAAATGCCTAGGAATCTGGATTCTTCCTCAGAATTTTTAGTTGGAGAAATTCAACAGTTGGTAGACACCCAGGGAAGGTCAGTATGTAAATAGGATTGATTTCTTAATAAAAAAAGAAAAAAGTGAAATATTCCCCTTATTTTAAGTATTAGGGATCCAGGTCACTCAGTATTTTTTCTCCTGGTCCTCTCTCATAAAAGATTACTTTGTGGAAAATACCTTTAAAAAAATCATTTTACTGGGGACTCTTACAGCTCTCATCACAACCCATCCATACAGCCATTGTGTCAAGCACTTTTGTACATATGTTGCCATCACCATTTTCAAAATATTTTCTTTCTACTTGAGCTCATTATTTCCCCTCCCTCCCTCATGAACCCTCGATAAATTATAAATTATTATTTTCATATCTTACACTGTTGTCTCCCTTTACTCACTTTTCTGTTGTTCATCCCCTTGGGAAGGGGTTATATGTTAATCATTGTGATCAGTTCCCTCTTTCTATTCCCACCTTACCCTTACCCTCCTGCTATCACTACTCTCATTATGGGTCCTGAGGGGTTTATCTGTCCTGGATTCCCTGTGTGGCGAGCTCTCATCTGTACCAGTGTACATGCTCTTGTCAAACTGAATTTGTAAGGTAAAATTGGGGTGATGAAGCATTAAAGAATGAGAGGAAAGTTGTATGTTTCATCAGTGCTATATTGCACCTTGACTGATTTGTCTCCTCCTGGTGACCCCTCTGTAAGGGGATGTCCAATTGTTTACAGATGAGCTTTGTGTCTCCACTCCACCTTCCCCCTCATTCACATTTATAAGATTTTTTTGTTCTGGGTCTTTGATGCCTGATACCTGCTCCCATCAACACCTCCTGATCACACAGGCTTCTGTGCTTCTTCCATGTGGGCTTTGTTGCTTCTCAGCTAGATGGCCACTTGTTTATCTTCAAGCCTTAAAGACCCCAGACTCTATATCTTCTGATAGCCTGGCACCATTAGCTTTCTTCACATTTATTTATGCACCCATTTTGTCTTCAGCAATCATGTTAGGGAAGGTGAGTATCACAGAATGCTGGGTTATTAGAACAAAGTGTTCTTGCATTGAGGGAGTACTTAGGTAAAGGCCCAATGTCCGCCTGCTGCCTTAATACTTAACACATAAAAAATATGTAGATAGATATATTTCCCTATTGTTCCACATAAATATATTTACATATGTACATGCCTGTATTTAGACCTCTACAAATGTTCTTTGCCTCCTAGTTCTTTCCTTTCTTTCCTTTTACTTTCCTCTTGTCCTACTATCATGCTCAACCTTCATTCAGGTTTCAGTCATTCCTCTCAGCTAGACTGCCCTTGATCAAGCCCCACCAGGCATCCTATGCTCTCCTTGCCATCAATTTTAGATCACTTGGTCCCTTGTCCCTGGGTTTGTTGACACTGCTCTTCCTTTCCCCCCCTCTCCTTCCCATGTCCCCCCAGAACCGTCAGTCCAGTTGTTTTCTCCTCCAGATTGTTTATTCCATCTATCTTATCTATATTGACATGCATAGATAATAATAAGCATAAATACAAGACAAAGCAAAACAAAACAACAAAAGAAAAAACAAACAAAAAACCACCACAATAAAACCAACCAAAAAAGAAAAGCCTATAAATAGTTCCAGGTCTGTTTGTTGACCTTTAGGAGTGTTTTCTGATCAAGTCTGATGAGGTGCCATGCCCTGACCCCAAAGTCTATAATTGGTATTCCCCAGGGACTTCATTGCTTTGCTCCCCTTGCTGTTCTGTTAGGAAACTATCTTTTAATAGCTAGCTCATAGAATTTTAAAATGTTTTCAGAAGGGAAGACACCTACGGAGAGATGTGTATTGGAATTTTTCTTTTTAACTTTCTTCTTGGGGAGGTCTCCCTAAAATTAAGTGGGCACCACTTCTGGGGAGGAAGTTTGATCCGAGATGATCTGGTGGTTGCAGCAGCACACTGCCTGCTTAGTCTCAGTGCGTACGTCACAGACCTCCATGGTTTGTCAAGCCTGCATTCCTGGTTATGGAGCGGAGGGATTTGGGTCTCTAGATTTCATGGGAGCATTCACGCATCCGCCTTACTGATCTTCATTTCCCCCACTGGCCCTCTCATTCACAGACCTTCCGGAGCCCCAGGTCTTATGTCTGTCCCAAGATTTCCCTTGCTTCATTCTCTACTAATCAAGACCCTGAAGTTCCCAGATGTCATCTGACATTTGTAGATTCAAGAGTGAGGTGGGGTGGCTTTACTAATTTTAATAAAGGATTAACAGCAAAGCTTAAATGGATGCTTAACATTTTTAATAACTGACTTGAGCTTATTGAAACATTAATCATAGCAATCCTGTCGGCGGAGTAGAATGTCCCAGTGCAAGGCATCATCTTGATGTTAGTTGGCTGTCACATCTTTCTCCCACGGAGTGACTGGTGGGTTTGAATTGCTGAACTTGCTCCTAAGAGCCAAGGTCTTAACCACTGTACCACCAAAGCTCTTTGTTTGAGTCACTCAAAGGGAAAACATAGTGTGGGAGAAACCGATATTTGGCTAAATTAAAAGAGGGCTACTAATACGAGGAAAGGAAAGGTCGATCTGGGAAACAAGTTCTATGTCATAAATTGTCCACCGTGCACAGAGGGTGGTTTGTTGTGAACGAGAAAGACTCAAATGCTTTGTGGAAAGGTAAGGATGGCAGAGGAAAGCGTGCACTGAAGTAAACCCTTCTGTGACTGAAAATCGAGACATCTTAGAGATCGAAAAGAATAGGGAAGTATGACATTTGATAGCAATTATAACAAATCTCCGAAGATTTAGAAGTACTTAAAGGGATATTGATCACTTTGCATGTAATTACATGGAAACTAGTGCAGTCTTCTCGGGGGGGGAGAAATTACTTATTGAAATCATTTTTCTTTGGTTTTAGAATGCAAATTAAGAATCTGACTGTGACTGCTGGAGAGCACAACCTCTTAGAAGGACAAGCAGGAACAGATTATTCCTGTTTCAAAAATTATTAGTCATCCTGAGTATAATAGATATGGAAACATGAATTCTGACACTGCACGACTGTATCTAAAACACAAAGTTAAGTTTGGTAAGTAGAGTTGGATAACCCAAAATGCAAAAGGAAAATTTGGGGGTCTGTATTAGTTTAACTTCTGTATATATGTCTACTGATATAGACTAACATTATTTTTCTTTTAAAAATCCTCTGTGTGATCTAAAACAAAACAAAACAGAAGCCATTGAGTCGACGCGACTCATGGAGACGCATATATATCAGAGTAAACATGGGCTCCATGGATCCCCAATGGCTGGATTGTCAGAAGTCAATTACCTCTAGTTGGATTCAAACTTCCAAAATTTTGCTGAGCAGATGAACGTCTTAATCATTTGCACCCCTCAGGACTTCATTCAATTTATAATCTATAAAATGTATAATCTAAAAATGTAAAAGGTCTGATGCAGGCTGTGAGTACCAGCCACAGCTTATGCCTGCTTAATTTAATAATTGGCATGTTAAGTACTCCTATGTCTTGCTGAACTATATTATATGCCATTTCTCCGTGCTCTAAGGAGTTTGAGACACATGACAATATTTTCAGACAATTCTTTCTGTCCCTATGAACTACACATCTGATTCACTCTCAATACAGATAAACTAAACATTCAGGATAAAGTATTATAATATATACAAATATCGAAATACAAGGAAGGAAAACAATTAAAAAGCAAAAATCCTCAGGAGTTAATCAGCCACTGAAGTAGGCCACAGCCCTGAGGGAATCTAGTTGGTCTGTAAAACTCTAGAGCTTAACTGAAGCAAGCATAGGAGGTAGCACTGTGTGTAGGGGAAGTTGAATTAGAGACCCCATGTAATCTGGAATCTGAAAGGCAAAGCTCTGAAGCATGAGGTTAAACAGTTACGTTTAAACATCAACACAATCAAGGGAGGGGTTGCACAATGGGCTGCTAACCACAAGGTCAGCAGTTCAAAACCACCAGCAGCTTCAAGGGAGAAAAACAAGGCTTTCTACTCTTGTAAACAGTTAGTCTCGGAAATCCACAGGGGCAGGTTCCACCTTGATCTTTGAGGTCATTATGAGTAGAATCACCTGGGTGGCAATGAGTACCTGTTTGGATGAGCCACTGCTCATTCAGGTTTGACACTGAATTCACACTTCTGGTGTGGTCCAAAAACTCCCACTCAAGACATAAGTTTAAAGAAATGCCAAATAAATAACTAAGGTTTCTGAAAGAAGCAAAGTATATCCCTGATAAAAATGTGAAACATGAATCCCACCTTCGATGCAGTCCCATGAAAGTTTAATGAATATGAGCACACAAATTAAAAATATGCAGAGCAAACTGTCACCAAAGAAAATGTCAAAAGTAATAATATAATTTGGCCTTTGAAGATTATATGTTAATATAAGGCACAGAATATAAAGCATATTTAAGTTTAATGAAGTGAAAATGTTTTACAAATAACTAAAACCCAAGACACCACTGAAAAAAGTCAATAAAACATGAGAGATGAATAGTTAGTTGGAGTTAGCAATTCACTAGAAGAATCGGGTAGTAGAGTAGATAGATAGGAGATCTGAAATGAGTATCCAAAATTCAAGATTAGATAAGGAAGGTAAAAAAACATGAACAATTGAAAAAGTACAGTAAACATTTCATTGTAACTTTATGAAGAATATAAATAGTGGAGCAGTTAGAGGGAAGTGGATGAAAGTTAGCTATAATTAATGAGACACAAATTTATGAAGCCAGTAACCCTAACCTATGATACTAAAAATAATTTTATACTTAAGTTCCAGGGACACTGTAGAGCATTGAGAGAGAGTGGATCTTAGACTCTCCCATGGGTTGGGGGTATGGGAGGGGCACGACCAGTGTTCAATTACCTAAAAGGGAATGGCATTTAGATCAGCAGCCGACAGCATCAGCAATGAAAGTTATGAAAGAGCAGAATAAAATCTTCAAACTATTGAGAATAATTCGTGTTAGCATTGTATATGAAAAGATTCTACCATCTAGTTTTTCTGCTCACCTTTATAGAAAAATATGAAGATCTGGCTAGGCTCAGTACACCAATTTCCTCTCCTCACTTCTCACAACTGAAGGCATTTGGTTTGAGATGTGTATTAGACAACCAAATTGATCCAATTTTTCACTCTCCAATTGAAACAAATTTGCTCTTGTCACAGCTTCTAAATTGCTAAGTTCTCAATAAAGGTGTTTGACACTTCTCTTCCTGGAAATATTTTGTTTACGTGGATCCAAGGGTTTCCTTTGTTTCCCTTTATACATTTTCTACCCTTCCTTAATATAATGAGGATCAAAATCTTCATGACTGGCACAAAAGGTAACATCATAATAAATCAAGAAAAGATTGAAGTTGTCAAGATTTTTGTCTTGCTTGGATCCACAAACAGTGTTCACAGAAGTAGCAGTCAAGTGACCGAAAGACACATTACATTAGGTCATCTGCTGCACAAGACTTCTTTTGAGTATTGAAACACAAGAATGACATTTTGAGGACTAAGCTGTGTCTGACCCAAGCCATGGTATTTTCCATTGCCTCATATGCATGTTAAAGCTGGACATTGAATAAGGGAGACCAAAGAAAAACTGACGCATTTGAATTGTGGTGCTGGCACAGAATATTGAAAATACTGCCATAAGGACCAACAAATCTGCCTTGGAAGAAGCAAGGATGGGAAGACTTCGTCTCATGTACTTCGGACATGTTTTTAGGACAACAGACCGGTCCCTAGAGAAGAACATAAAGTCTCGGGAGGCAGTGGCAAAAAAAGAGACATTCAATGAGATGGATTGACACAGTGGCCGCAACAATGGGCTGAAGCCTAGGAACAATGGTCAGGAGAGCGCAGGACCGGGAATGTTTTATAGTGTTGTATGTAGGGATGGTCCAATTTGGAACTGACTGGATCACACCTAACACCAGCAACCTTTTCTTAATCTTCTTGACTGAGTCCTCCCTCCTCCTCCTCCTGACCTCCTATTATTGAGCTGCCCGAGAGCTCAGCCTTAGACCTTTCTCTGTCTCCGCTGACATCCAGACGTCCTGAGCTCATCTAAGTGCAAGTCTTTAAACACAACCTACTTAAAGATGACTCCAAGTTATGCATATGTAACCCAGGTTTCTTTCTATTCCATATTGCTTTGAGATTCATGGGAGTTATATAACCAACGTCTACTAGTCTTCCACTTGGGTGGCACAAGTGATCAAGCACTCCGTGACTGCTGCAAAGTTAGTAGTTTGGGCACACCTAGAAGATGGGTCCCCTTTTGATCATCCTAATATATAATATAGTTCTACTGTGCAACAGACGTCCTTTCAAAGACTGGGAATTGACAGCTAGCTGGATAGCTAAGAGGCATCTGGAACTTCCTATGTTGAAATTAGGACCCTGTGAAGGGTGATGTCGGACAGTGTAAGATATGACAAAATAATAATTTATAAATTATCAAGGGTTCATGAGGGAGGGAAGGGAAAAAATGAGGAACTGCTACCAAGGGCTCAAGTAGAAAGCAAATGTTTTGAGAATGCTAATGGCAACAAATGTACAAATGTGCTTGACACAGTGGATGGATGTTTGGATTGTGATAAGAGTTGTACGAGCCCCCAATAAAATGACTCAGAAAAAAATATGACATACTGTTGCATTCCATTGCTTAGTATTAGACAAATGTTATTGACATCTAAAATTTAATTCAGATAAAAATGGATACTTCTCTTGGTTTGACACACAAAAAAAGAAATTAGGACACTGATTATCACTTATCCCAAATCTTCTCTACACATTTTCCTTTTTCTGTTAGTGTGTTAGTGTCTACTCCATCCTTCCAGTGATATAAGTTACCTTTGGACTCCTCTTGATTCTTCTTCCTCTCACACTGTACACCCAATTAAAAGAAATGTCATTTTGACCCCCTGCTCTCCGTTCCTGTCTCCCATCCCATTTCAGGCCACGGCCACTTGATGCCTCCGTTAGTGTTAATGGTCTCTCTACTCACTTTCAGCGGCTGCTTCTGCCTCCCTGGCTTTGTCTTAAGTCGGCAGCCAAAGTATATCGCTCTGTTCAAGACGTTTCGGTGCTTCCACATCACATGCAGAAATTATTATTCTCATCTGGCATTTCCTATCCAGTGCAATTAATCTAACCTTTCTCTTTTTAAAAAACTGCCCTTTGTTTAATCTGCTCTCCAGATAGCCTGACTTTGCCACTATTCCTTAAACATATGTAGCATGTCTTATTGAACGGATTTTCCTTTCTCTTTTTGCCCAGATAATTGCCCTGGTCCTTCTCAGCTTTCCGCAAATGTCACCGCTCAAGGGGACTTCCTAGGGTCACAGTATTTAAAGTGACCTCTCTCACCCCACCTCACCCCCCAATTTGCCCACTCTTTATCTCACTCACTGACTGCTCTGGTGGTTCCCAAGAATGTAACACCTAACGGACTAAATATTTTATTTAATGCTTGTATCTCCTTTGACCCACAACTCATGTAAGCACCGCCAGCACAGGGGTTCCCCCCCCCCCATTTACAGAGGCCTAGAAAATAGCAGTACTTAGCAGCTCTTTCATGGAAAACTATCCTTCAGGCAAAGGTCATCCTCTAAAATGGTAGTTTTGGGGACCATGGTTAGGAGTAGAAGGGTCAGTGATGCTTTTGTTGCATTCTTAAAATATAAACATAAGAGTTTTATATTACAGAAGAGAACTCTGGGTAAAATGTCAGTATTGTTTTAGGAGGAGCATGGAGTTGTAAAACCCATAAGATGTTGCAGCATGGGAGCAGCGTTCACTGCTCCAATGGAACAAAGATATTCAGCATCATTGTCCGTCTAGGAACCTTATGGATTTTATTCCTTTTATTTTTTTTGTTGCAGGAACTGCTGTTCAGCCAATCCATCTTCCCAAGAGAAGGTAAAGATGAAGCAGGGGTCCTATGTATGGCCAGTGGGTGGGGCAAAATTCCAGGCAGTAAGAGGCATCAGAAGAATCTAATATTTCTTTTTTTTTGAATCTAATATTTCTTCCAGGTCCTATTTTATATCCCGTGGAAACCAGAAGAATTTGTTGTTCATGAGTAACTAACTTATCCGGTTTGGGTTCTGACCCAGTTGTCTTCACCATGGGAAAATGGAATGTTTTTGTGTGGACTGTTTATACCACTGTGCTGCTGCTATTTTGGTTAAGTTTATCAGATAAAGAAAGCTGAAGCTAACTATAACTGATGAGTCAGAATACAGTGGAAGGAGAGTCAGGAAACAATGGTTATGTTTCGGGTTGGGGAGTTTTTTGTCTTCAATATTGTGATGTTTAATATGATTAAAAACGTATTGTTTGATAGACGAAAACTTTCATTCAAACATATGTCTGGAGGAAATACAGCTTCCTATCTTATGCACAATGCCTTATTACCTTAAAATATCTGCTGAATTAAAAAAAGTTCTTTACCACATATCTGATCATTGAAAAGAATATAATTCAAATCTGAAAAAAAAATTTACAATTTTGGTTAAAACTCTACTTATTAGTCTTAAACTTGTGGGTTTCTGATTACCTTGTTTACATGACAACCATCATTGAGCTTTCAGTCTGCAGAACATTCCAGTGCCCTCTAAGAAGTGGAGGACAAGCCATGTAATACTGTGCATAAGACGACGAACCTGCCTCCCCTAGACGGGACCTTGCTGTGTGCCGATTTTCCTGAGGAAGAAAAGGATGCTGGCCAGGTACAAAAGGATATGCCGTCTCACTTAATTCTGCCTGGTCTAAAAGCTTCCTTTGGGAAGTTAGGTTTCGGAATTCTTTCTTGTCCTCGTTCCACATGTCTTCTATTGAAAAAATTCACTTGACTTGGAGAGAGAATTCTTCCCCATCTCTGGACCCATTTCTATTACTGTGTAGAAATGGTGCGTTAGTGGTTACAACTTGTCCAATTTAAATGGAACGCCACAAGATAAACACTACAGCAAGCTAACTGTGCCCATTCACAGTTGTTTTTCATTCCATGTTTTGTTAAATATTTTATTTTTAGTTTTGCTTTTAGTGCAGAATGCAGTACTTGCACAAGATTTGGCCAAAGATTGTAAACCAAAGTGACTGCTGAGTTAAGAGATGTTATAAATGATAATTTCTCAAGATTGACACAACTCAAAGTGATCTTTGCAAAACATAGAGAATAGGGGAATCAATCTGAAAAAATGCCTGAGTTTTTGTTGTTTTCAGTTTTAGTTAGAGAACACTTTGCCTGGAAATGCCTGTTATTCTTTTAACTTATCATTCTTTGCTAGCAAGGAGAACTTGACGTTGCTATAGGAAGGCCATTGGAATTGTCTGTTGGAAACATTTTAATTTTGCTTCTGGTGATGACAGGACAAAGAATGGGAGAAGTTTCTGAGAGGGAAGAAATGAAACTAAAATTATGCTTCTTTCTAAATTGAACACAGACAAGTTAAGGCTGCTTCCTTCCTGCATCTGTCACACACAATTCTGTTTCTGAAAAAACCCTCAAAAGGCCATGGAGGAGGGCACCCTCAGACACCATAATTCCAAGATACCAGTTCTACTTCCCTTTTCTTTATTCACGTCCTTATTCAGCCAGATTTCACATGAAAATACCAAGACTTGAGTGCAGCACATGGAAGTCCTCAAAGTGACATCATTGCTTGAACATTTCAGAGAGGCCCTTTGCAGCACATTTGCTTAAAGCAATGCTTCATTCACTTTCTTAAGTACTACTTCCAGGAGCATTGATTCTCTACTTCCAGGAGCATTGATTTGGGATCCAGTAAAATGGAATCCTTGACAACTTCAGTATTTTCTCCATTTATCATGATGTTTTATTTTCTTTACATTAATGTATAATCCATACTGAATGCTGTGATTATTGATCTTCATGAGTAAGTGCTTCAAATGCTCTTCTTTCAGCAAGCAAGCATATGGCATCTTTCAGCGATCATCTGCATATGGCAGGTTGTTAGGGACCCGGCCGCCTATCTAGGCGCTGCATCCATCTTTACACAGGCTACCTTCTCGGCCTGTTTACTCCGCATACAAATTGGATGCCTATGGTGAAAGGATACAATGCTGACACACACCTTTTCTGATATTGAACCACAAAACAGTCCCTTGCTTTGTTCAGCTTCCTCTGTGTCTATTTAAGTGTTCTTGGATTCCTATTCTTTAAAATGTTATCCATCATTTGTTATGCTCCACATAGTTGGATGCCTAAGCCTAGTCAATAAAGCACAAGTGAGCATCTTCCTGTTATTCTCTGCTTTCGGCCAGGATCCATCTGACATCAACACTGATATCCCTCATCTCCATCCTCTTCCAAATTCAAGGTGAAGTTCTTGCAGCTCCCTGATGATGTACCGCTGCAACTGTATTTTTGTTTTTCACCAGTTTTGCATGTGATATTAAAAATATGTTTCTGCATTTTATTGGGTCACTTTTCTTTATAATGGAACAAATCCGTTTCTCTTCCAGTTGGTTAGTCCAGTAGCTGTCTTCAAAATTTCATGACATAGCCCAGTGAGGGCCTCTGGAGTTGCATCCATTTGTTGAAATATCTGGGGGGTTTTTCAGTCCATTACTGGAACCTTGTTGACCAATGACTTCAGTAATGTTTGGACTTCAGTCCTTGATCAGATGCTACATCCTGAAATGGTGGAATATTGGCCAATTATTTTTGGTAAAGTAACTCCATGTTTGTCCATAGAATTCTCCAACTTTTCAGCTCAGGGCTTGAGCTTTTTCTTTAGTTCTTTCCACTTAAGAAATACGGAGATCGTCTCTTTTCGTTTTTCAAGCCCCAGGTTTCCCACTGTAATACTCTACTTTTTCTTCTCCCAGTTCTTTGAACTTTTACTTTCATTCCTCATTTTAACTAAGGTTTTGGAGTCAGTGGAATTTATCACCTGTGCCATGATCACAGGTATGTGTACTTTTTCTGAATTCTTCCCTTTTCATTCCAAGTAAAAACCTGATCATGTTTCATTCAGGGCTAGTTATTCTTATCGCCTACAGATACAATCAGAACATAGTTTTAAAACAAAGCAAGACTATAGCTGGTTTTCATTTCTAAGTCATTATATATATTTATGAAAACTCATCTTTGAATTCATGAGCACTATTATCTGTCAACTCAACTTGACCTTGAGGTGTGTATTAGTCTAGGTGGACTAGAGAAACAAATTCATAGGCCCTCATATGTGTATAGGAAAGAGCTTTATATAAAAGAGCAATTATATATTAAGAAACATCCCAGCCCAGTTCAGATCAAGTCCGTAAGTCTGATATTAGCCTATATGTCCGATACCAATCTATATATTCCTCTTCAGACTCATGAAACACATGCAATGACACTGAATGTAGGAAGATCACAAGCCAATGGGTGGAAAGTCTCCTGGATCCAGTGGCAGTGGAAGCATCTCAGCACTGGCAGGGGTCTCCACTTGGTTCCTCCAGTTTCAGGGATCTAGCGTGTAGCTCCATGTCTTGTCAGAAGGAAGACGAAGCAGTGTCTCTCACACCGAGTGGGTCTGTGTCCCGCCTCCAGTGAACTGCTTATCTCCTTAGCGCCTCCAAATGAGGTCATCGAGCTGCGACCTGATTGAGAGGCTGAACACTACCCCTTCACTCTTGTCTCAAATTGGCAACAGATTATGTAATGACAAGGTGAATCCCTATATAAGAAACTTTCTATGAGATTTTTAAAAAGCTGTATTTGGGATTTTAAAACATCCTTGAGAATAAACTTATCTAAGAATTAAGTTCTTCATTTATTGAATTACTTTTTTTCTCTGCCCTATTTAAGATCACTGTAAATAAATCACTCCTCTCACTTGCCCACATTATAAGCCATGTTCATTTTACTTGATGGCAGAGGGAGATTGAGGAAGACTTTGGAGAGTTAACTTTGTTCGCATTCACTAAAATCTAGATTAGAGAAAATGGGTCTACAGATGCCACTCCTGTCCACAATGGATCTTCTCTCTATTTGGAAAGCAAAGGCGTAAACAGTTGCCAATAAACGGTGGAGGGCACATGCACCCATAGATATGAGAGCACTGAGCTAGAAGCCTCTGGAATCAGGAGGCTTATCACACAGGAGTTCAATCTCTGCAGAAGCAGCATGAGAGAACACAGCTTCAGCAACAAATTGTTTAGTACAGACCAATAAACCAAACCACTGCCACTGAGTCCATTCTGACTCATGATGACCTGTTCAGAGTTTCTCAGAAAGTCTTGGACTGTTAATCTTCACACGAGCCTTATCTTCCTTCCATAGAGTGATTAGGGGTGAGAGGGCGGGGCTTGAACCACTGACCTTGTTTTTAGCAACCCAACACCTAACTTACACTGCCACCATGGCCTTATAGTTTAGTGTAGGAAACAACGAAATTTAAAGGCCAGAATCCAAAGCAATGTACATAGTATTCTCTCCATCCGGCCTTCATTGTAGTCTGGGAATGTAGCTGAACATGTTGAGAAACACTGACGCCACTTGTTGACTGAATACCTGCCCTGCCTAAGACTATGGTAGCTTTGAAGTGCATTTTCATTGGTCTTCAATGTGCAGGTGCTCCGTTCATTGCTTTAACCACCAGGGATAATTCTCTCCAGGTGGCAATTCTACTCAGTTAGTGATCAGCTGGAAGAGAAAGCTAAAAGGTTAACAAGCCCTGAAAAAAGGTTAATGATAAAAATATTTGAAAACAGCAATGAAATCAGGCAATAAGTTAATTCCACAGTCAAATGAGTATCATACATACTATGACAAGTAATTTAGATAAGACTGCGTTAAGTTCATCTTAGGAAGCTTGTCGGCCCCTATTGTGTTACCAGCCACTTTTTGTCCCGTAATTGACCGTGCTTTCAGAGTTCTCGGAACCCACCTTGAAAATTGAATCTCTGTACCTGCATTCTTGTCCTAATAGCCAACAACTCAAATAAATGGTGCTTCCATGTGACCTTTAATTCTGTTCTTCCAGGCCTGGTAAGTCACAGAGAAGACTCCTTGTTCATTAATTGAAGTAAAATGAATAGTATTTTTTTCTCTTACATTGTTAAACACTTTTATTTAGATGATTACTTGAATGTTATTTATTATTGGGAATGATATTGAAGCTCTTTATCCCTTCTGCACATTTTGATTACAACAACCAATCCATAACTGATATATGTGCAAGATGTGTAATCAATGTTTACGTATCGCATTCTCATATGAATGTTGCAGCTTCAATGTGTTTTCTGATTTGAGAATAGCAAATGATGTTAAATCTAAAGAACCTCAAGTAGAGAAAAAAAATGCATATTTAGCAAAAGTTATTTGCAAATACAATGCCTGCTGTCGTAGCTCAATCAAAAGCATTTCCAAATATATAAACCATGTAAATATATATCATATAGCTTCAGACTGACCTCTGTGCCATCTCTTTCGAAATATCCATAGGTGGGACAAAATGTGAACATCTACCCGATGATTTTGGAAGCTTGTAGCCCTCATGGGACAGTAATGATTGGAGAAAGTGGAGTGATTATTTATCCACATTCGAAAAAAGGCAACTACTCTCCTAATTGGTATGCATCCCAAGTACAAATAACCCCTACGTCTCCTGCCCCCCCCAGTCAGGCCACTTAACAGTGTTTATCCGGGCACTTTTATCTAACATATCATGTTCTCTATTTGATAAAACATAAAAGTCTAGATATGTCATCTGAGATTACCTTGTTGGCACGTTTCTTATATTTCTAATACCCATTAATATAGATACCATCAACCTAAGTGGTACTAAGACTGGAGTTTACCTGATTCATATATTAGCAATATCTGGAAATGTGGTTTGTATTGGAATGTAGTGATTATTTCTGTCATTATAGTGATATTTTATTAAGCATCGCCTAGTTTAGGTGTGATAATCTTCTGTAGCTTTTAAATACTTTCTACATACCCCATCCTCTGTATGGTTAAAGATATCTTTAAGGTTTAGAAATTTGTACTGCAAGCATTTCAAATCCTTAAGTTATCTAAATTTATTTTTTAATTACAGTAGCATTAACTAAGTAAAAGCAGATGACAGTCTTATATGATTAAAATCTGAAAGGAGGAGGATTCTGTAATGATTAATACAAAACAGAATAAATAAACTTTATAATCTAAACTACCAGGCCATATTATTATTA